TGTAATTCCTCCAACCTTGGGCAGTGAAACAAGAACGAAGGGAACAGACTTTTGTTTACACACAACCATCCCAATGAAGAATTCTCCTCTCAGATCCTTAAGCTGGATACAGGGTACAATTATTGATGTACTAAGAACAGGATCTCAACAGAAAAAAAGCAGAAGTTGTCACGTAAAAATGGACAGGAATGATTGAGTCATGAAGCTGCTGGTTAAGTCCAAGGGTAAACACATTCTTTCATCACCAGGGACAGGAACAAGCAAATTCGTTTTGGTAAAATATACCAAAAAGGTAAAATGTACCAAGGTTTGAAATCTGAACCTTGCTCCTGATAATTTAGGCTATACCATGTACCATTATCAAAGGATTGACATGCTGTCCCTATTCCAGAGAGTCAAAGTTTGGAAGGGGCCACATGGGGAAGCTATGCCACTGGGTAACAATCCACCATGAGGGTAGCAGGCAGAAACACAAGCACATCCGTACACAGACACGCCAGAACTTTACATGTTGCAGTGTTTTTCAAACTGTGGTCTCACAAAACCTTGCAGCAGGTCATCAGGGGTTCCTCAAGGAAACGGGATAATGGTGGAGCAGGCTGGGAGGACCACAGCTCACATGGCCCACAGAACCAAGGCCAGAGGCTCTGTGGCAGAAGTGATATGAAAGGGTTCCTCGTGACTTTAGGAAGTTTGAAAACTACTGGGAGAGGAAAGCCGCTCAGAAAAAAAAACAAAAAAACCCCGAACAGCTACTCTACCCTAAGCACAACTGGGTAATTCTACCAGTATGCAGACAAAGAAAGGAACTTAAGGACACCTAAACAACAGATATAACTGAGTTGTCAAAGTACTCCTAAATAGCTGACATGAGGTCACGAGCCTGGATCAGATATGTCAGCAATACCAGTTCACCGAGCTCTACCTAAGAAAGTAACCTCTGGAGGACAATGTGCAAGAAAGAGTACAAAGGGAAAGGATTTTCCTGCCTATAATTCTGCTGTGTCTATATTTCTGTGGAGGGCTGGCAGCAGTTAGAGTTTAGCCATACATTCCAAATGAAAGGAAGAAGGTTTTATTCAAGGAAAATAAAAGTTACAAAAATAAGACATCAGACCCTTTAAATCTCACAGTGAAACAGATTGACTAGTCTTTTATAATTGCCAAGGGGCAAGTTCTTGGCTTTTCCAGTCTATCCACTCAAATGCAGCCAATTTTTGACATTTATTACAGTAAATGATATTTCTTGAATTCCTTATGAGCTGCCTGAAGTATCTTATGAACAATTGATGATAAATCATATTTCTTTAAGCTGCATCTCTGCTTCTTATCCTACCACTCAAGATTGCTCATGCCAAGGCAGTTCAGCTCTTTCATATGGATTTTAATATTCTGCAATTTCTTAGTAAGCTTCGCAGTTACTTAATGTATTTTATTCTTATCCTTCCCTAAACTTGCAGTTTCAAAGGGAAAACAGTGCATATATCTGCTGATACTTAGCAAAAAGGCTGTCAATTTGTAATTAGCAATATAAGAAGAAAGGATGCTATTAAGGTGGCTTTTGATAAATATGCATGGGCTCTAGAAAAGGACAGGAAAAAGAGACAGATTTAAATTCTAGCCTCTGGCTCAGAGAAACCTCATGCAAGGTAACTAAGTACAAATCATATTGGAGTTTACAGCAGCAATTTTTTTAATATACTTTGTTACTGATCAAAAGGAACAAACATGGAACATACAGCAAAAGTATATACCTGCCTAATATTCAATTAGCATTCAGGGTATAAAAGACTAAGAGATATTTTAGGAGTACTCAAAATTTTAGAGAATGTCTCTCTGTAAGTAGCTAATTACACCTACATAATATTTCATTTGCTGCTCCACAAACAACTCTTATAAAGAACAAGCTTTAATATGCATTACCAATATTGCTCAGTCTCTTACTTTTGTATTTTAACAATGTTTCTTATATGCTGGGCATTCCTACCATAACTGTAGGCTGCAGGAGAAAACATTATTTGGGGGAGCTGACCCCCACCCTTCCCTCCCACAGGGCTGTTGTGGGGTCGGCACACGCCGGTGTTGTATGCGGCAGCAGTGGAGCACAAGGTGGGGGGCACTGGGTACAGCAGTGCAGTGGCAGGGCATGGTGGTGGTACCATGGTGCTGCTGCTGTTGCCAGCCACCACAAAATTAGTTGGGAGGGGTGAGGGGGGGAAGGCAGGGGGCCGCTAAGCCTTGTTAGTCCTGGCCTCCCACTGCCTATGACCACAGCCATAATTAACTATTGCATGCATTGCCCCAAGGAGGGCTATACAACGGCCCGCACTTGTAGGGAACAAATTAGAAAGGCTAAGGTGGCGACTGAACTTAGATTAGCAATGGGAATCAAGGATAACTTTAGGTAGGTCCTTCTTTAGGTATGTAGGAGAAAAACAAATGGGAGTGTGGAGCCATTGCTCAACAACTCAAGTTACCGGCGCTCAGGAGAAAACTGAACTCCTGAATGACTACTTTGCTTCAGTATTTCACTGGGCCAAGGGGAAAATCATGCCAGATAGAGTATAGAGTGAGAAGGGCAGAAATGACTGCCTCCCTACTACTGCCATTGAACTGTTGTGCAATCAATTACAGAAAGTATAATTCAGCAAGACTGGATGAACTCCATCTGAGAGTGCTGAAGGACCTGGTCAAAGTCATCATGGAGCCCCTGGCGAAACTCTTCCAAAACTCATGGCGCTCGGAGTGGTCCCTGAGGACTGAAGAGGGCCAATGTTGTGCTCATCTTCAAGAAGGGGAAGAGGCAGGACCCAGGTAACTACAGGCCAATTAGCCTACCTTCTATCCCAGGGAAAATCCTAGAAAAATTCATTAAGGAGTCTACCTATCTGTGATAGGCTTGCAGAAGGTAGGATTCTGAACGACAGCCAGCAGTACTTAGTTGCGGGGGGGTCTCATCTTACCAACCTCATCTCCTTTTATATTCAGATAACTCACCACCTGGATAAGAGAAGTAGTTGATGTATACCTTGACTTCCAAAAGTCCTTTGATCTGGTATCCCATGATGTTCTCATGAGAAAATTGGAGGATTGTGGGCTTAACTGTGAGACAGTTAGGTGGGTAGGAAGCTGGCTGCAGGGTAGGACCCAGAGAGTCCCAATGAACAGATGTATGTTGTTCTGGTGAGAAGCAGGCAGCAGTGTCCCACAGGGGTCGGTGCTTGGTCAAGTGCTTTTCAACATGTTTATCAATTATTTGGATGTGGGGGTGAAGAGCTCGCTGGCCACGTTTGCGGCTGACACTAAGTTATGGGGAAGCGTGGTCATGCTTGAAGATAGGCTACAGATACAGGCAGATCTAGACAGGCTGGCAAGTTGGTCAGTTCAGAACCAAATGAAGTTCACCATCGAGAAATGTAAAGTGCTTCACCTGGGGACAAACAACCCCATACACACCTACAGGCTTGGTGGTACCAAACTGACCAGCACCATGAACGAAAGGGATTTGGAGGTAATAATAGATCACAGGATGAATATGAGCTGGCAGTACGACGCTGTTGGCAGCAGGGCAACTAATACTCTTGGATGCATCAATTGGTGCATCTCCACCAAAATCAAGGAAGTGATTCTTCTGCTCTGCTCTGCTCAGCATTGGTGAGACCCCAACTGGAGTACTGCATCCCGTTCTGGGCGCCGTACTTCAACAAGGATGTGGTAAAGCTTGAGAAAGTCCAGAGGAGGGCCACCCATATGATCAGAGACTTGCACAGCAAGCCATATGAGGAAAGGCTGAAAGACCTGGGACTCTTCAGCCTGAAAAAGAAGGCTGAGAGGAGACTTGGTAGCATCTTACTGCTACATCGGGGGTACATCAAGGGCTTGGTGAACAACTGTTCACCAGGGCACCCTTGGGGAAAACCAGGAGTAATGGCCACAGACTCCTGGAAGACCATTTCAGGCTCAACATTAGGAAATACTTCTTCACAGTTTGAGTATCCAGACTGTAGAATAAGCTCCCTCCAGAGGCGGTGCCATCACCTACCCTGGAAACCTTCAAGAGGAGACTGGATGGTGACCTTGCTGGGGTCACCTGACCCCAGCTGTCTTTCCTGCCTGGTGAAGGGGACTGGACCCAATGATCTTCCGAGGTCCCTTCCAGCCTTACAATCTAGGAACCCGATGAAATGCTAATCTCCAGAGCATTCAAGGGAAATGTTGAAAAAAGACCAAGTTTTTTGTAAGATTCTGGTATGTGCCTCAAGAATAAGTGTGGATTTAGCACCTTTTTAATGGTGTAAATAAAATATACTTTTAGTTTCTGATAGTTTCAGAAAGAGTATGTATATGGCTTATTACCACGTGTGGTGATATGTTTCAGAATAATTCTCCTTAAGAATTATTAGTATTACACAAAACAGAATGTTGCTGGAGTGTATGGCAAAAGAAAGATGTTTTACATGCATTCAGTTTTGTGAGTTCAGGAGATTAGCATTTCATTGGATATGTGCAATAGTTAATTATAATAGAAATGTGCAACATGTAAGAAACATTGTTAAATATAAAAGTAAGAGACTGAGCAATTTTGATAACAACAGGTAAACGAGAATATACATGATCCCCAATAAGGAAGTTTGTAATCATTGTTTCCCGATTCTTTCCAAGCTCTTCCAAGACAAAGCAGGCGCAGTATATTTAAAGTACTGATTACTGGGACTATTTTGTTGCATGAAGTATCATTTAACAAATTAAGCAGCAATACATTTATTAAATAAAAACAATGACACTTGAGTCTAGGAAGAGGGAGAGGTCACATTACTGAAAAAGTGCACTTAGCACAATTCAAAGGATAGTAAAAGAGGTTTCACAGAGATTTTCATTCTTACTTTTACACACATTAAAAATCACATTTTTTCTTACACATTTGTAACCAAAAATTTAATAGCCATACATACCACTGCTTGATCGGTAGATTGTAAGTAACTTCTTGCCAGTGTCTCTGAGCTTCATAGTCTCCATACATAGGTGGTTTTCCTGCACCTAAGAAAGTAACACATGGTAAAAAGTGCTAATGAATTTATTGTTGTTTCTCTCACGCTGCTTTTTCTCCGTAAATGTAACTGGAAATTAATATCTTCCTTGTTCTGTATCTGACTATTATCGTTACTTGACATTGGGCTAGAATGCATAGCGAATCTTTTTCTATAAAAAATACATACGCAATATAGAACAAGTATTATTTTAGTGGTCTGAAATGTGTCTAAGTACGTATCAATGTATTCAATTTTCCTGAAACAGATACAGTAGCCTGATCATTCCCTAAAAATCATTGGTAATATTATCAATGTAGCATAAAAAATGTTGCATTTTTTCAGAAATAAGACCATGTAGATAACTGCATTCCTATACTCTTTTGTGTAAATATGCATCACTGCATTTGCTGATATAAAACAGTACATGACTTGTTTTCCCCTATATTTTAATAGAAAGGTACCCTTAGAAGCAGTTTTCTTATTTGTAATATACAAAGTAGTCTCTTTCTATTTAAATAGGTAGACCCATAGCTGGAGCAGGCTTACAGAAAGAATTCAGTTTCGTATGAGCTATAAAGCTACTTAAATGCACAAGTAACCACTTTGGGTTACCAGAATTGTTTTTCCCCCCCACAACTTGCATCTGTGATTGTAACACAGCAGTTCTCTTCCACGCATGCCAAAGGATACTTTTGGCATGCATGACACACACACCCCTCCCTGAGGAAGCTAATCCCTATTTGCTATAGGGAGTGGGAAGAGGAGAACTTTGTCAATACAAAGTCTTCATAGCTGTGTTCATAAACAAGCTCCTCAGTGTAATTTTAAGTGTGGCAAGAGCAACACATTAAGCAGTAATGGTACACAGATAATTCATTTCCTTTACCTTGTGATTACCTATTGAGAACAGAAACCAGGCAGACAGTTACTTCTATTGAAATATTGATGCTAACCTCATGGAGATTGAAGAGTTTCTTTTAAATATAGGAAAGCCATCTATACCTCTTTCACATGATCTATGTTTGTGGGATACACACAAATACAGATATGTGTGACTTGTTTCTCGACAGAACAGAGAATAGATTTCTACTCTAGTCAAACAGAAGGTTCCTAGCAGGTGCAGATATTTGGGAGTCACACCCTCATCAATGCCCACCCTAGGAGAGAGAAATCTATTAGTACAGGTTTCCTATAAAGAATGGTCAGGTCCAGATTTTGACATTTCTGGAGCTGTGCAGATGTACATGGATTTTCTCACAATTCCTTCCAAAAGAGGTGAGAAAAAGATAATTATTTTTCTTAAGAACTGGCAAACTATTTCCTAATCAATAGTCTGACCCATTTTCTATATTGAGGTAGCTGATGAACCAAAATCATTAATTAGCTGTGGAATTAGTCTCAAGTTTTTCTAAATACCAGCATCCTCTAAGTTTCAGGAATGAGAAACTCAGAACAACTCATAAAAACACACTCACGGACCCAGAGGGACAGATTTCCATCTCCAGCTCCCTCTGTGCAAAAACAAAATTTATTTCCTACCTATGGGGACTTTTTACCATCTTTAATTCTCCCAGAGCCTGATGAAGGGCGCTTGAGCCTGAAAACTTGCAGAATAAGATAATTTATTGTGATGTCCTAGTTGGTCTAATAAAAAGGTATCAATTCTGAACCAAGAGTTCTAGATTTCTTCATTTTTAGCATCCTATAAAGCACTGATTCACCAGATTTTCTGAAGGGTGCCTTGAAGGGTGAGATTTAGAAAGCAAGCAAATTAACTAAGCAGGTAAATGCAAGCTCAGACTTGTCCCTGCCTGGAGGATCCTCCATCTCCATTGCCAGGCTCCTCTGCAAGGAGGTAAACATTGTAACCTATAAATTAGTTTTTGAAACTGGATGCCACACAATTCACAAAAGTTATGAAGGGGTGCCTTGAGTCCAAAAAGGTTGAGAATCACTGCTCTTAAGCCAGCCCAAATAAACAGATCAACTCCATGTAAGGGCACTTCACTCAAGAGGGACAATTAAAGTACCTTTCTCCAGCCTGCAACAGACATGTCCAGGCAGAATTCAGAATTAAAGAAGAAAGTATTGTTGTTCACATGCATTCTGATTTCCCATTCTATTAGGAAGTGCTCTGGGTACTAGCCACAGGTACTGTAAATCAGCACTTGCTTCGTTCAGTTTTATTATTGCCTGGGAGCTAAAGATTTCAAGGGCCTCATTCTGCCTTCTGATACATTAATTTAGCTTCTATTCACTTAGGATCTTCATATAGGTATCAGAAGACAGAATTTAAGTTTATTATAAACCACTTATTCCAAATAACTCACTAAGTATGGACAAATGCAGTACAGTGAGCTGTTAGGGATGGGGACTTACCACGTCAGCTGCTTTGTTACAATTGTCTGTCCGTCTGCTGTCCCCCACAGTAAATGAAAGCTAACCTGAAGAGTTTATTCCTAAATAAAACAGGACTACATTGCGCTGGGTTAGCATTCAATTTATACAGAGAAGATAGGCAGATGGGCAGTTACTACAGATCAACAGACCTGTGGTAATTCTCCACCCATTAACTCACTGTACTTTTTTGTCCATATTCCAAGTCCAACTAGTTTTACACCCAAACCTTTTGCAAAGCAAATTCTCAATGCAATTATTAGTTACTAGCCCTCTACCAGTCATGATCCTAGCTCAACAGGGAGACATAAAAAGACATCACAGGACAAGCAATAATAAATAAAGTGATGTAGCAACAGAACAAGCAATAGGATACTGGTATAGTAAATGGGAGTGGAAATAACCTCTTTGTGTCTGGTCATTCATGCTACACACAATTCCAAACTATGCTGAATCAGCACTGCTAGCATGGTTTGCTTCAGAGAACAAGCAACGACTTCTAATCCCTTGCTTAAGTGTATGGTTTCATTGAACAGCAGTGACAAAGCAAAATAAAGGGACTCTGTCGGTTTGAAGATTACATTCTGTCCAACATTTTCTACTTCCCATCATTAAAAGTAACATCTAAGATTTCTGTCTGAAGGAAAGCAGAGAGGGCAAATATTTAAGAGAACACTGGGGTTGATCCCAGACTCAAGCTGTGGTTCTCTTGGCTGGCAAGGAAGTATTTAACCAAAGGGGTAGAGAATAAGCTTTTTGAAAGGCAGTAGTGTAAGGAACGGGGGGCAACTGAGGCACCAGCCCTGGGGCATGGACCCTGGAGGAAGGCACAAAAATAACAGCAACTGCACTGCCAGCTTGTCCCCCACTGCTGCTGCCACCTCCAGCACAGCCCCTGTGGTTGCCCTGTGGGCTGCTGCTGACCAAAGCACCCAAGCATCCACTTATAGCTAGATAAAAATGATGCAGGCTTCTCACAGTCAGTTTAGGTGTGGTGTCAAAAGGTTTTGTGGAAAAGAAAACATTCACATTTGCAAGCTGTTGCAACGGGAAGGGTAAAGCTTTCGCTCATAGGATATCATAAACAAAAATCAGGCAAATATGGATGATGGGTGCAAAACCTAACACTTTGTTTTACACCATTCTTATTAACCTGACCTTCATGACCAATCCTTACAACTTCACCAACATCTAAAAGAATGATTTGCAGTAAGGCTTACAGGGCAGGTTTATACAATTGTCCTATGGGGTTGTAGTGGTATTCTGCAACTGCTACAATGTCTGAGATATAGCAGAGGGAAGTCAGCTATTCTTTTACTCCTTGTAGCACATAATTACCCAGGAACATAAATATAAGAGCAGTACGAAATTTAGAATGCCAGGTCTTTTTCAGCATATCGTGGTGGTTGTAATGCTGTTCATTTCCTAACCCAAGAAAGAAAGTGAGCAAGATGGCAGCTCAAGACTTTAAGAGACTCAGGGAGGTAGATCAGCTACTAAAATACACCACTAATTTTGCATGTATCTGAGCCACATACTACTTCCTTCTTCTGGGGTCTTACAAATAAGTCCTGAACTCCTAACGCAAGTACTGCAGTTCACCTGACTTTACAGACCAGGAGCATACATTACCTGAATAAGAACCAAGTGAAATTGTCCAACGTACAGTGAGTCCTAGTAAGACAGCAATGGTCATTAAGCTCCATTTGTCCATCTCTTGTGTTTCAAAACAAGCCAAAGGGTACCTGCAAACAAGACCAGAAACACTGATGCAGAGCTGCCCATGCTTCTGTCCCCTTATGTATCTTGAGTCCCATTATAACATTAGTAGTATTAATACTAAATCTCACTCTTTCCCGCACCAGAAGAGTGGTGTTGCCACATTGCAGCTTCCTACATGCTGAGCCAGAAGGGTCTATTTCAAGTACTGAAAAGTTTCTAAGCAGAAAGCCAAACACTGCCCAGAAGTATCTTCTCCCATTTCTAAGCCACAAGCTGACTGGGCTTCTGGCAAAAGAAAAAAGAGAGTATAAGATTTCAAACTACTGAGGGGAACCCACATCTCTGTATACACACATGCATATTCCTAAGGCTCCATCTCCTCGGTTGTTGAGGACAGTACAAATATTGCATGCATTAGGAATGGGATCTCTTTCCAGAGGATTAATGCGATTTTTGTAGAATTTTCTGCTGGAGTACTGAACCAACCAAATAGCAATGACAAGCAGAGCTGATAGTGTGACATTAACTCACTTTGTCTACTGTGTAAATGCCAATTATATGGTGACATGTCAATGGTGAATGTTTGCAATACACTAGGATAGCTAAAATAGATTCAAAATGGGCCTGATTTTCTGCAGACATGACCATGTGTAAAACCCGCCTCTCTGAGCAGTCCCAATTTCTTTGATGAGACTATTCACAAGCAGAAAACTCTACACCTCTTCTAGTAATTGTCTGCAGAATACAGCAGTTCCTTACCAGACAGGCTTACCTAGTTCCTTACCAGACAGGCTTAAAAGTTAGGATTTCACTGTTAAAAGTACGCAACGTGTTTTTATAAACACATAAATATAGACATATATAAAATATTAGGCTCAAGATGCAAATAATGACATTTCTAAGTCAATAGGATTATTACTTGCTTGCTAAGGCTCTTAAGACTGAATTTAAACAGGAGGTTGCATCCCCAGCCATGCACGAAGTCTTTAAAACACTATCAACTCTAGAAAAGCATTGACCTCAGATACTGCAAAGTGAACTAGGAGGATTCAACTACCTAGTGTGAAGTTTTCACGTATCTTTATTCTTGGCTTTGAAACCTACCCATGCCTCCTGATAAATGTTAGGGATACCAAGCAGTTAAAGCATTTGTTTATTAACAAAGCATTTACTCTTTAATAATAAACATTTTCACATGTGTTTGTTCCTTCCCTTCTTCCATTGGCTTAAAGAAGAGGAAGCTTTGGCAGCTCCTAAGGCCTTGTATTAGGTAACTGGTTCAGCTCCAAACTCCCCAAAATAAACAGTAGCACTCACTGAACAAGACAGAGAAAATCAAAGTCATAAAAATACTACGTGCAAAAGGCTTTTCTTTCACCTAATTATGAGCATAAGAACACAAGCCTTTTTTGTTGCTTTTCCTGACAGCTAAGCTCCATGAAGCACATGAAAGCTATCAGATGAGAAACTTTGGCCCTCAGTTGGGGGTATAGTAGACCACAGCAGTCCCGTTAGACCAGTGGGAAAAGCACGGCCAGAACTAAGGGAAATTACTTTCTCATTTTTAATGCCTTGCATGAAGGGTTTCTCAACCTCTTTACAGAAAAGAGACCACAGACATTTTTGGTACCCTGGAAAAGTGGTATAAGTGAATACAACTCCCCTGAAGCCAAACTGTTTTGTGTCATGAGTCTTATATTAATTTAGGCCTTCAGTCCCTAACGTTCCACTAAAATGTTAAGTTTATTTTAGTAAATAGGAATTACATTACCCGTGGAGGGGGAAATATTAAGATAGGCTTGCTGGACTGCGTGTATAATGAGCTGAAAGAGAAAGAAAGAAAATAGTTGCAGCATACCTGTTTGACCTTCTTGTACATTGGCTTCAAATGAAAAAAAAAGTCCTGGAACTCCACTTTCCATGTCAGGCACACTCCTCATTACCCCTCCCCCTGCCCCAGAGGATATTCAGGGTATAACCTCCTGCATGGAAACGGTCTCATCTGCATTCCTTTTACACAGAAAGTACCAGAGGGATGCTCCTTTAAGCTAGTCTGCCATACTTTGTGCTCATGTATCCTAAGAATCTAGAAGCAATAAAAAATGCTCTGGGCCTTCCAAAACAGGGTAAGACGCATCAGATTTTAACTGAACTGAGCAGTTTGAAGAGGCAATACCAATCCATTTGCACATCACTGAATGTATGGTGTGCAAAGCTTGGCTCAAGGGTTCCAAATATTTTCTTCTCGCTCAGACTCTTTAAGAAGTTTGAGGAAAACACTGCATCACACTTGCTGGTCAAACACAGCAACAAATCTAAAAGCTGTATCTTTGCCAAAGGAACAGCAAGCAGCAGCATCTCCTCCAGGGATGAGCTGTAACAGATACATTAGAGTGTATTGGATGAGTCTGGGTCTGAGCGCCAAAATCTTTTTTCTTTGTGAAGAGGCAGCATCCAAGGTAAGTAAATTTAATCTTTTTGCTACTGCCAAGCAGCTGCAGGAGCATTCACACCAGCTCTGCCTCTTGCAGAGCAGCAACACCACTAGACACTTTTAGGTTACCCTGACCAAGTTGAACACAGAAGTTATTTACCAACTGAATCCAGTATCACCACCAACACCAAACAGAGTGATCCCTCCACCAATCTAAATGAATGACAGCAGCAATCCCACAACTGGAAACAGTGACATTAACAGCAGTATTTATGCACTTTTTATGTCATGTATATACCCTAAAATCCAAGACAAGCATATTTTATATGCCTAAATGAAAGATAAAAGGTCACCTCCTTTTAAATGAGCTCTCAGCCCTCCTTAGATCATAAAGGAGTTTTCTTTGACTCCCAAAACCAGACTAGGTCTGCCTGAGTTCAGTCATCTTCTTGTAAAATACCCAAATCTTCTCTCTTCTCACTGCTTCCAACTAAACCCCACAGCTCCACACTTCTTACCTTGACTTTGATAACTGTGACCTTCCTCATCCTCCCTCCTGTTGTTCAGTCTAGTCAAAATGCCCTTGTTAAACTCTCCTTCTCCTTGCTTTAACCACATAGCAATGCATCCAGCTCAAATTTCTACCTAGTCTGGTAAATTGTACAATAAATTGCTACAAGACAGACCACTTTTAAAAAATGTTTATTTACCAAAATTTGCTAATAAGTAAAGCCAGCTGCTATTTCACAGCTGTTGATTGTGTATGAAATGACCTCACTGGTCTCAGTCAGCCCAAATCAACTGCCTGCATGTATCTGTGAGGTGTAATGAGAAGCAGAGAGCAGATCTTCTTTTATCATCTAAAGGTTCTGATGAATTAAAAGCAAAGATCCTGTTATCTCTCTAGCTGTGTATTCCTCATCTCAAATATTCATCAGAACTATGCAAAACTAGCTACTATCATAACAACAGGCATTTTTTCAAGTTTTGCTACAAAACCCAAATTCAGTCTATGGTTGTCAAAAGATGATCTGAGTTCTTCAATGAAGCTTTTGGTAAATTTGACATCTGGGCTGAGTTACGTCAGGGAGGAAACCATACACAAAGTTATTTCATGGAGGTTCCTTGCGAAACCTAAATCTGACTTTTACAATGGGAAGTTGTAAAGAAGCAACTAGGCTGGTCACAGCTGTGGATGTTAATCGCACTGACACAGGTTCCTGTTGGCAAGGCAAAACAAAAAGCAGTCTAGGAAATTCACCATCCACTTTCCAACCCAGCATGGGAAAAACACCAAGCCACAAGGACGGACATGTGCAGCTGTGTCCAGACCCTTCCAATAGTGTTATATGTTGCAAGTACTGGGTTATACTGTTGGGACTAAAAATAATTCGACTTGTAACTTCTGACCCAGGAGTGCTCAGGAAAGACTACTAATCTTGAAACTATATGCACTAGTGTTTCTATGTGCCGTCAAGCCACAGAACATTACACTTTAATGTACTGGTATCATCTACTTTCTTAATCTTTTCCATATTTATGTTGTTACTGAAAATGAAGTAAAACATTAACCTCTCTAGACTGTTGAAGCTTCTCGCAAATGTAGAAAAAGGAAACACTTAAGATGTCCTTAGATGTGTGGGAATCAAAGTGCTTCTGAACTCTGGCCTAGACAGGTTACTACACGCAACCCCCCCCCTTAATCAGTTCCTGAAAAACCGAGCATTAAGCAAAACTGAAAGTATCTGATGACCCAAGAAGGTGACCGCAATTGTTTTTAATGACCCAAGATGGCAACCGCAAGCGTTATAACGAAACTTGCTCTGCGCTAAGTGAAATCAGGTATCAATTTAAAGCAAGCGTTATAGCGAAGTCACGCTAAGAGAAACAACATTAAGTAGGGAATGGCCTGTATAGAGGAGCTTCAATTATTATCATTTCTTCATTTTCTGAAATTATCCTGACGTTTTACTATGCTTACATTCAGTAACACCAAAAGTTGAGATAAAATATAATGTTATAAAATAGGTGACACCTATGCTATCAAGTCTAGTCATTCTGACAACCATTTTCCTCCTCCTCTTGGCCTGACTGAAAATACCAACATGATCATAGCAGCCGCTGTCCCCATAAACTCATCATCCGTGTCTTAGAGGCATAGGTTGTAGCCGCGACGGTGTAAGGAAGAGCTGCAGAGACTTCCTCAGCCTGACAAAGGGTTTTGAAACCCGAAAGCTAGCTAAAAAAACTATTTAAGATGGTCTAATAAAACATATCTGATTCACCCACGGAGCCTTGTCTGCCTAATCCGCATTTGGACACTGTCTGCAGGCCGTTACGATAAAGGTCCTTGAAGGTAAAAACACGTTTGTTTTTCGCGCTCTCTCTTGCTTCTTTAGTCACTGAAACAGTATTAGGAGGGAAACAGAGGAGTCAAAATAATCACAAGGAGGCGGCCGCCTCACAAACCACAAAGCTTTCAGGGAAGAGAGATGCTGTGACACAACAGGGCCAGGTGAGGTTTGCATCTTGCCAGTGCTGAGGCAACAATTTGAAACAGACCAAAAAAAAAAAAAAAAAGCCCCAGGGAGGCCACGGGCTCAAAAGAGCAGCGAGCAGTACCCCCTGCCCCCTCCAGCTCCAGTGGAGCAGGTCCCGGAAGCGTCCCTTCCCGCCCGCCGTAGTACGGGAGCCCCGCCCCCTCTCCGCGCGCGGCGGGTGACGCAACAGACCCCTCACGTAGCAACGGGCAGCCCCGCCCACTCCGGCGCCCCAACACCCGCTCCCCCCTAGTCCCGCTGGCCGTTCTGACTGGACTCACCCTGAGGCGCAAGCGCACACCTGCTCCCGCCACTTCCGCGTTCCAGCCACTTCCGGGCGGGGGCGGAGCTCTTGCCCTGAGGCGGGCGCCCCGGGCTGCGCCGTGCAAACAGGGCGGGAGCAGTCGGCGAGCAGCGTCCGGGGTGTACCTAGCAGGCGTTTGCCTTCGCTTGTTTAAATCGTCTCTCAGTGCATTTCCGTGCAAGGGGCGGGGGCCTCCCGACCTTGGTTCTGTGGCCGTTGGCGAAGGGCAGGTGAGACTCGGGAGCATCCGAGCCCTCCGGGCTTGGGCCTGCGCCTACGAAGCCGCCCACGTGTTTGAGAGTACAGGCAGTCCTCGGACTTAGGACACAGTTGGTTCCTAAAAACCAAAACGTTGGAACTCGGAACCAATCTTCTCATAAGAAACAATGTTATAAATGGGCTACTGGTTCCTGAACCAAGGCCTGATACCCTGTTTTCACCAAAAATACCCCAGAATGTTGTACTCGATCAATTATAGATGAGTAATATAGCTGCATTACTGTATTTCTATTGTAAATAGCAATCCTATTGCTTTGGAAGGACTTCTTTGAGGTGACTTTGCCAGAGGTTTTGAAAGGCTCTTGGTTGGACTTTTTGAAGGGTTCTTGGCTGACGTCTTTGCAGGAGTCTTGGCTGCACGTTTTTCTGGAGCCTTGTGTGCTTTCTTAAAGTGTACAAGGAAGTTTGGACAGACGTTCTCCAGGGAGATGGGTGATGCAGCAAACTTGTTCATTGGGGTGGTGTTGCATTGAGCATTGTAAAGTCGACACTGACGTCAGGGTGTCAATTTATAAATGTTGTAAGTGCAAAACGTAACTGGAAACATTGTAGGTCGAGGACTGCCTATATCTGAAACCTTGGATACTTGCCGGTTGTAGCGCTACATATGGTGTTTGAACATTTGTGTTTCTCTCACTCGAGAGGATTCAGAACTGATTTGACCTGGAATACAGAAAGTTGTCAAAAAAACTCCCAAAAGACACGTGAACATCCGTGGTTGCCAGAGTCTGCAGCTCAGAGACTGACTGTCTTCAAATACCTCTATGGCAATTACAGACCAGAGGGAAACGGGCTTTTCCCTGTGGCTGTAGGGGACAGGACTAGGAGCAAGGGTCTCAAACTGGAACAGGTGAGATTTAGGCTGGAAATTAGGAGGACCTTTCTGACAGTACGGTGGTTGGGCATTGGAACAGGCTAGCTGGAGAAGTGGAATCTCCATCCTTTATCATGCATCAGCGGATGCATGACAAACAGAACCAATGCGGTGATACTTCCCCTCTATCAGACACTGGTCAGACCGCAGTTGGAGTACTGCGTCCAGTTTTGGGCGCGACACTTTAAGAGGGATGTGGATAACCTGGAGAGGGTACAGAGAAGGGCCACTCATCTGGTTAAGGGCTTGCAGGCCAAGCCCTACGAGGAGGGACTAGGGCACCTGGACCTCTTCAGCCTCCGCAAGAGAAAGTTGAGAGGCAACCTTGTGGCTGCCTATAAATTCATCATGGGAGCGCAGAAGGGAATAGGTGAGGCTCTACTCACCAAGGCGCCCCTGGGAGTTACAAGAAATAATGGCCATAAGCTAGCAGAGAGCAGATTTAGACTGTGCATTAGAAAGAGCTTTTTCACAGTTAGAGTGGCTGAGGTCTGGAATGGGCTCCCAAGGGAGGTGGTGAAGACCCCCAGGGTAGGGGAGAGCAAGAGGAGGTTAGATAGGTGTCTGGCTGGGATCATCTGAACCCAGCACACTTTCTTGCCTATGCAGGGGTCAGACTCAGTGATCTATTGAGGTCCCTTCCAACCCTAACATCTATGAATCCTTCGAAGTTTGCTAGAGCCGGTTGGACAGGCACTTGGCCAGGGTAGTTTAGTCAGAGGGCTGGAGTAGAGGACATGGTGAGGTCCCTTCCACCCCTACTGTCCTACGATCAACTCAGACACATTGTGCACAGGCCTTGTCAATGCTGGCAAGAGCAGGGTCTGCACTTTGCTGTAGGTTCTGATCTGTTAGTGGCAGCTTGAGTTGAGACATGCTGTCAGGCAGCTGCCAGCCATGTATGCATCTTGTTTACTGTACTCAGATTAGGTCTTCATAACCCACTATTTAAAAAGCCATTTGAATCCTGGTATGTTGTAGTGCTTCTCTTGTTGCTGTCACTTCTGGAGATAAAATGTTGCCCGGGTGGGAAATTAATGGCCAAAAGTCAGAGCCCTTAGACTGACTTCCATACTCAGAAGCAGGATAGAGACCTACTTTTTTATGAAGTGAAGGGAACACCCTGAAGACTTACTTGCTTTTCAGCCATGGAAAAAGGGACTAGGAAACAGCTTGAAGGCATGCTGAGACGCTGAATTTAGGAGCAGCTTAGAGATGAGAGATAGAAGGCTCATACTCTAGTTGTTCCTTTATCTTTGCTACCCTCCAGGGCCCTGACAACTTAACATAAAGACAATGATTCTGGAAGAGCCATTGTCTAGGTCCAGAAGTATATTTTCCAACTTTCTGTGGGGGGAGGGGTGATTGGGATTGTGGAAGTTTAGTAAAACACACTTTTTCCCAGTATCATCAGTTGATAACAGAGAGGTATCAAGTACGTGGGGGCCATGGGCCCTGGCCCCCCTTGGGAAGAGGGCTGTCACCTGAAAAAAAACTTTCCACATGGCCATCATCTCCCCCCCCACCAGCAAAATCTTTCAAGCAACACAGAAAAAAAAAAGCAAGTAAGTTGAAGCTGCTTTTCATTTTTTCATAGATTTAGGGTCGGAAGGGACCTAGTAGATCTTCTAGCCCGACCCCCCGCTAGGGCAGGAGAACAACAAAACCCCAAAACAAAAACGGGACTCAAATGAGTCCAGCCAGGTAGGCATCCAGCCTCTTCTTAAAGACCCCCAGGGTAGGGGCCAGCACCACTTCCCTTGGAAGTTGGTTCCAGCTCCTAGCCGCCCTAACTGTGAAGTAGTTTTTGCGGATGTCCAATCTATACCTCCTCTCCATCAACTTGTGCCCATTACTCCTTGTTATGCCAGCGGGCGCTAGGGGAAACAGCGTCTCCCCCAAACCCTTCTGGTCCCCCCTAGTGAGTTTATAGACGGTCACCAGGTCCCCCCTCAGCCTTCTCTTGTGGAGGCTGAATAGGTTCAGGTCCCGCAGTCTCTCACTGTAGGGTCTGCCCTGTTGTCCCCGGATCATGCGGGTGGCCCTCCTCTGGACCCTCTCCATGTTGTCCACATCCCTCTTGAAATGGGGCGCACAGAACTGGACACAATACTCCAGCTGTGGCCTGACCAGCGTCGCATAGAGGGGGAGGATCACCTCCTTGGCTCTACTCAAGATGCACCTGTGGATGCACGATAAGGTCCGGTTAGCCCTGCCAACCATGACCTCGCATTGTCGGCCCATGTTCATCTTGGAGTCAATAATGACTCCAAGTTCTCTTTCTGCCTCCGTGCTCTCAAGTAGGGAGTTCCCCATTGTGTAAGTGTGCTGCTGGTTCCTACTGCCCAAGTGCAGCACCCTGCACTTGTCCGTATTGAAACGCATCCTGTTCCTGTTAGCCAACCCCTGTAACCTATCCAGATCCTTCTGCAATCTTTCACTCCCTGCTAGCGCGCTCACCTCCCCCCAAATTTTGGTGTCATCAGCGAATTTAAACAGGTTGCTTTTCTAGAACACGTCACCAGACACATTCCAGACTGCAATGACCACTTAAACCAAACATGACTTCTTCAGCCTGTTCTTCAGTTCAGACTTCAGCCTGTTCCCCATATTGATGGCAAACCTTTCTGGGAAGAGTTTAAAGATAATAAACTCAGGTGATTGCAGTGCCTGACCACATAACTGTCATCTACACCCCTTCCCTGCCACCCAGCAAAAATAAAAGTTAGTGC